CTCTAATTAACATTAATCAACTATTAAAATAACATATCTACAACCTCCTTTAACTCTCTTTTAAACAGTACAATTATTAAAAACAGTAATAATAACAACACTTTAATAATTAGAAATAATACTAAATAAAATATTCTAACCTTTGCACAACAATAATACTTAAAATTTACTCAAAAACCAAATGATATTTTTTAGTCCCATATTTACACTCAATATAATCTATCCATCTTCTCCAAACCAAAATATATCTTTCTTGGGAATGATCCTTCACATAAGCGGAAATCTTGGCCATTTCTGCTAAATTCGAGACTTTAAGTGACCAGCATTTTATGAAGGACTTAAGCCAGCTTTTTATGAAGGACTTAATGGTTGATTTCCACAATACTCTATATTAAGCTGAAATAGAATTAAAGCGTTGCAGTTAAAATAGTTAATCATATTTATATAGCTGCCTATCTCATAAAACACCAGTCTCCAACTGGTGTTTGGCATCAGGGACTGGTTTCATGGAATATATTTTTTCCTTGGACTGGTGGTGGTGGTTCAGTTTTGCTCACTCGCTCGCCCCCCATTCACCTCCATCTGTGCAGCCCAGTTCCTAATAGATCATGAATTGGTACCAGTCCATGGCCTGGAGGTTAGGGACTCCTGTCCTAAAACATAACTCTGGGTAGTGTACAATAGAAACAAGCCATAAAATAATGTGTGAACCAACCATTGTCAAAGCTTGTTGTATGGCACTGGCATTGTATTGAGTCATAATATAGCTTATTTGTTTGGCATATACAGTATATTATGTAAGCCCAGATTTTTATTTATTTATTTATTTTGGTTAAACTGGGTTTGGGCTTAATATGTGGTCTGCCTGTTCTTAACATGGGGGTCTTTTGTTTTGAACCCTTGGCTGTTTAGCATTCATGCATTTGAGTCAGTTGTAATATATTTTGCTATTGTTAATTTTGACAATGAAAGAAGAGGAAGGGAGGATCTGTTTCTCCCAATCATTTGGTGTATGGAAGCCACAGAATGGTTTATTTTCTTGAGAAATGCCGATTCATTTCAGCTGGAATGAAGTACAGAAAGATGGGTGAAAGAAGGTGAAACATTTGATCCAAAAAGTGAAAATAGTTCCAACTTGATCCCAAAAGTGAAAAGAGCTAATTAAAGCTCCAGAACTATATTTGTTTCAAGGAAGGCTTCTCTCTGGTATATTTTGACAAGCAGATAATTCTCCCAAGAAAGAGGTCAAAATTTACATGAAAGTTGGTTGTTGAAGAGATAGAGCTATGTAGATGCACTATATATTATTCATTTTTTTCCAAGCAAAAAATGTTGGTTGGTTGATTTATTGCAATCACCTACTCCAAAGACTATATCTACTCCTTTTTCCTGCTTTTGTATAACTGTAGATATATTCTGATCTGGTTGGTTGGGACAAAATGAAGTTCCAACCTTAATGGCAGGCAATAAATGCTTTTATAGGCAGTTATTCTCCATTGTATATAGCAGTGGTTCTCAACCTTTTTAATGCTGCGACCCCAACCGGTCGTACGTCGAGGACTACACCGGTCGTAAGTCAAGGACTAAACTGGTCGTAAGTCGAGGACTACCCAACCGGTCGTAAGTCGAGGACTTTCCCTGCCCGGGAGCGCCGCGCATGCCTGGTTCCGCCCCCTGCGCCGGCCGAGGCATAGCTGGCAAGTGGCAGAGACGGAGCAGGCCAACCACCAGCTGGCCCAGCCCAAGGGAGGTAAGGCACCCGCCGGAAAAGGGGGGGAAAATGGCAGACAAAAAAATGGCGGACAGCCTTGCTTGGCGACCCCCATGAAATGGTCGATCGACCTCAAATGGGGTCCCGACCCACAGGTTGAGAACCACTGGTATATAGGTTTTAGTTCTTCAAACACCCTATAGATGTTTTGTAAAGACTTGTTCCAATCAAAATTGAATCCTGCTGACTCCAGTTCCATGCAATTTTCTTAGCATGTCACTTGTAGATTGTCATTGTCATTGCCTTTTTCCAAGTTTTTTTAAAATTCCCCATCCTGCCTTTACCGATCAGCTTTCTTGCTGAACATCCTAGTAATCAGGCCCAACCATGATTGTTTTTTTTTTAATCAGCCAAAGTGGGTAGGTGCTAACAATACATTTTTTAGAATGAATTGTTTAAAGATGAAAATAAGAAAATTCCTATAGGCAATTATTCTCCATTGTATATAGGTTTTAATTCTTCAAGTAGACTCCATCCATTCTTTCCAAATGTTGTCTTGTAGTGTATGTATGTTTCAGTCAGTCAAGGGTTAATTTTCTTTGTGCAGATGTTAGCTACAAACTCTCTGAAGCCCTCCACCTTGATATGATTCCTAACAGATTAGGGATATTAGATAATTTCCTTCTGTTTATTGTGCTAGTGCACTATGTTATCTTTCTATCATTCAGATAATTACTGAGGAAATCTACATTAACAAAAAAAACCGATCGAATTCCTTAACGATTTGTAACCGAACTACGTGACTATAAAATGTGTTGGTTCAAAGGAGGACAGTAACGAGTTATTTATTTTTCTAGGAATAGTTTCGTCGTTTTCGAAAAAGTACCCACGAATTTCTTGTTTTCATTTATTTTATGTTCTGCTCATTTTGGATTCCCGAAGGAATTTACTTTGAAAATTAAGGACTCTGAAGCCTCAAGTACTGTACACATTAAGTGCATTCAAATAAGATGTTGTTTGCTAAATTATGAATGTGTATAATTAAAATCTAGTGGCTGTTTCTATGAAAGATTTACAGTGTTATTTCATCGTTTGTCATGGCTAATTAACAATATTAGATGAAGTTTTTCTTCTTCAAAGGTCTGGGATTTTTTCTCATTTATTTATGTCAGAAGTGATAAACAGAGTAGTTAAAACCTTCTCTGGGGGCAGCAGTGAGAAAGCAACACGGTCTTTTACACCTCTAAGGGTTCAAGGTTCAGATCCTGGCAAGTATAACATCATAGCTTTTTTCCCTGAGATAATTTTTCCCCAAACTGCTGAAGTTTTTTTTTAAGTGGAAATGATAGATTGCATGACAGCAACAGCCCCTATGGAAAATACAATAAATTAACCAATTGGTGCCTTAATAGCTGAGACAGTACTTTAATAAGTAAATAGAGCATAGCATGGGTTATTTATCATTACAATTAAGTGTAGATGTATGAGATTCATGTTATTTTCTCTGCTTGGACTAGGCAGTTCAAGTTTATAAGAACTTCACTAGTTGCCAATCATAGTGACAAGCAACATTTTTGAACTACACCCGTGCACACTATTAGTAATGCTATTACAGAATATATGCTGAGTCTCTGTCTGTAGATGCCATTCACTTGAAATTGTTTTAAAAAGGTATGCCATATGGTCATGCTTTTTAAATGATTTAAAAGTTTATAATTTATAATGTTTTGAAAAATGCATGAATTTGGCTAATTCCATACTGCAGGGACAAGAATTCTCCAATCCGCACCATTTAAGGTTTAAAATGGCAGTATTGGAAGCATTGTCTTATGATAATATGTAGAAGATTTTTCTTTGCTCATATTTTTGTCCTACCTTTTTCATATTTTTAATACTTCGCCCATGTTTATGTCACCATAAAGAATAAAAATTATGATAAATGGAAGGGTTCTTCATAATTCATCTCTTAAAAATTTCATAAATTCTCTTTCTTAGTGCACAAATGTTCTTTAACTTTATAAGTCCTTGTTGGAACTGAGGGGACCATTAGTCCTTCAGCTCCTGGAAGGATTTCCCCCCCCCCACACTTGATATTTTTAAATATGTGTAATTGTTTAAATTACTTTAGAAAGAATGGATAACTGGTATGGTAAAAGCACAGTCCAATCTGAGGTATTTATTTCTGTGAATGCTGTGAATTCCACATGAGTGCTATTGGCATAATGCTTGCTTTGAAGTGTGTCTGTCTGCCAAAAAAAGAAAAGAAAAGAAAAGCATAGTTAAGCAAGGCTTGGCGGACAATATATGGACTAGTATGTTCCATTAAATAATTGTCTTTGGGCTAGATTTGCCTATTGTGGCAGCCATTTGGTGAAGGTCCTAGTCTTCCCTCAATTCCATCCATTGTACCCATGAATTCCTTGAAAAAAATCCAAATGTGTCATGATCCTGCTTTACAGAGTACCTAAATATAATATAATTATTTTAATAGGACTTCTCAGGAAAGTCAGCCTTTAAGATTAGGATTTGGTCCCCATTCTGAAACCCATTAAGCTACAAAATCAGCCAATAATTTGAGGATTGCTTTAACAGGTCTGCGTAGCTTGTGATCCATCATGCTCAATGTAACTTGACTAGCTTTGAATTATGGCTTGCCATCTGATGACAGCCAGGTCCCTCATTTTTACACTTACAAGCAGGCAGCAAAACAGCAAGGTTTATTGAGCACCTGGTATGCTGCCAAGCTCAACTCTTGGAAAACATTTAACTAATGAGACATAAGATATGCAGACATGCTTTAAAAATAATAGACATGCGTGATGTCTGTGCAGCTGCACCTTTGTATGGTAGTTAAGGAAATTCCCCTCAAAGCAAATGCATTGGGAACTGCTGCTACTTTCTTATAGATGCCGGGCCCCAGCAATATTTGCCTGAGCTCATAGCAGCAATTCTCATAAACTAGCTGTAACTTTTTTCATGACTGTGTTTGTATTCCTGCTACTTGCTGGGGTGCAATTCTCAAGTGGAACTAAAATCTCACTGAATATCACAGTTAGGTAGACATGCATAGAATTGCACTGTTAATGAGTCTTCTACCCTGTTACTGTAGGTTTGGCTCAGATGCTAAGCTGCTTTCAAAGTTCTTTAATGAATCGTTTCCTTCTCTCCTAAACGTAAGAAGCGGAAAGGAGTAGTAGATATATGAAACTAAAAGAAGCATATCAATTCTTTCTCTTTGCCAGCCGCAGCAGCAACAGGTGACTTCACAACAGTTGGCCTTCCAGCAGCAGCTTCTGCAAATGCAGCAACTGCAACAGCAACACCTCTTGTCTTTGCAACGTCAAGGTTTGCTATCAATTCAGCCGGGCCAGCCTGCTTTACCATTGCAGCCTCTTGCTCAAGGTAAGAGTGGGATTCCAGGGTGTCTGACAATAATGGGAATAAATTACACTCTAGCACCTGGAAGGCTAGTTGTGCCAAGAAAGTTTTTCTGGGAAATGAGTTTGCATCCCTTTTTTCTAGCTGACACGCTTTAAAAATAATAGACATTTGTGATGTCTGTGCAACTCTACCTTTCTATGGTGATTAAGGAAATTCCTCTGAAAGCGGAATTACTTTCTTATAGACCCCAGGCCCCAACTTTCCAAACTAGTATTCATCTTGTGATGGTTGTTAGGCTTGTCTATCCTTAGAACAGGCGATCCTTCATACAAGAGAATAATCCAACTCATGCTTTTTAGCTAGATCAGCTTTTCATGATACAAGAATGTGGACAAAAAAGTTCTGAGTAACAAACTATATAGATAAAGAGTTCTGGATAACTTGACATCTTCGGAGTTTTTAAGTCGAACAAAAATTACACAAGTTAATCCTCCAACTTGTTTAATTTTTGGATGCTCTGTACTATTGGGAGACTGCTCATCCATCCAGGCCATGGTGCTCGTAGTCCTTCTGCGAACAGTCTGAAAAGATTTGCTACCAACAATTGTATACAAGTAGTCCTCGACTTACAAAAGTTCATTTAGTGGCCATTTAAAGTTAACAACAGCACTGAAAAAAGTGACTTATGACCGTTTTTTCACTTACGACCATGGTCGTGTGATCAAAAATTCAGATGCTTGGTAACTGGTTCATATTTATGAATGACAATTGCATTGTCCCGGGGTCATGTGATCCCCTTTTGGGACCTTCTGACAAGCAAAGTCAATGGGGAAGCCAGATTCACTTAACAACCGTGTTACTAACTTAACAACTGCAGTGATTCACTAAAATGGGGCCAAACTCACTTAACAAATGTATCGCTTAACAACAGAAATGTTGGACTCAATTATGGTCGTAAGTCGAGGACCATCTGTAAAACAGAATAAATTGTCATGTAATCGGATAATTGCTTTCTTGCCTGGCGATCCCAGAAGAACACACAGGCATGGGGCTGCTTAGCAACCTGAAGGCCCTCCCTCTGTCTTTAATTCTGAATTTTAACTATCTTTGCCTCTTAACATTTTATATACAGTTGTTATGTTTTTATATTTTACTTGTACACTGCCCAGTGTGCCTTTTGTGAAGAAGATGGGTGATGTCTAAATTGGATAAATTATTATGACGGTGAAAAAGACTTTCACAAAATAGTGAGTTAAGTTACCCATCATGTCATTTTTTTAAAAAAAACCCTGTTTTGCTTTCTTTCTATTACGAGCATTGCAGTTCTTAGATGCAAAAAAATTCTGGCCAGGCTTGCTCGTGCACTCGATGTGCAGAAATTTGGCAGTTGAACTTTTTCACAGCATAACATAAACCCGCTGCTTTATAATGACTGCAGTTCAGTTTGTTGCTAAAGCCTCAGTCCAAAAGTTGACAATGCTATAGAGATGTGAGAGTCATGAATTGAACATATTGTGGTAGTCACATTTTGAAAACATGCAATGCCCCCACCATCTGAATCCTCTTTACCTTACCAAGTTTGAACAATAGATCCCCGTTGCCTTAATCCTGTGTTTGACAAGGGATAAGAAGCTTCACATTTTCTTTCTACCTCTTAAAATAGTCGTATCTATATTTACCATCATTGAGACTTAACATGATATTACATGAGTTGAACAAAGGAATTCTTTTTAATGCGGTGTCTCTGCTCTAAAACTACTTTATCTTTCTCCCCACATCCTCAAATGCCTATGAAATTTGAATAGCCCTCTCAGCATTTCCACATAATTCTATTGATTCATTTTACCTACTGGTTGACTACTTTGTAGCAAACATATTCTCTTGACCTACTTCAGCTTCCTGCAGTCAGGTGTATCAAAAGAAAAAAAACTTAACCCTAGTCCTCAGATTAGACAGAGACATTTAGATGTACAGTAAGTCCTTTTGCATCCTCCCCAATAGTTTAAATTGTAGGGATGGGATTTCTTACTTCAATCTAAGCTTGAATTTACCAATTAAAATTTACACATTCCAAAGTGATTAATCCACTATAGACTTAACCATTAGGATTGTAATCTGCAGCAAGGTGAACTGTGAGCAATCCTTATGCTCAACTGTTTCATCTACTGATTTTTTCGCCCTGAAATATTTCATTGCTAATCATGGGTATGCATCCATTACATTTATTGCATTCTTCCAACTCCAAAGCAAGCAAGGAAGCTGAAGAATTGTTTTTGGGTTCCATTTAGTGGTAGTCAAATATCCAGTGAGTCAAAGATGGATGGATTCAAATGATAATTTCTTGTTAATGGTAGAAGATGGTCAAATGGAAACTTTATGTGATATCAAATTTATTATTGCCATTGCAGAGATTTAAAAAGAAAGAAAGTAAAGGAAAATTAAAGGAAATAGTATAAACCAAATTGATTTGGTTCACTTAAAACATTATAGCATAAGCTAATTATGCCTTCAGAAATCTCACAAGCTATTTTTACATATTCACTCACTGGACTCTGGACTCATGTCTTTCTAATTCTTTTTTTTTTTTTACAAACAGTCCCTCTATTATTAAGTTTCCTTGGCAAGCTTCATAGCATAATATATCACTTAAGCTGTCCAAAAGAGGGCAATTGGGCAGTGACAAGATACACTAACATGTAATGTGAAAGAAATGAATGTGGTGATGCATGAAGTGTAATTTGTGCAGCAACACATCGGAGACACTAGTAGGTAATTCAGCAGTTGTGGCATTGATTGATGAATAGGCTTCACTGTCTAGTGTAACTATTAGTTCTTGCAACTTTGGAGGGGGGAGATATTTAAAGAGGGATTTACACATGATAAGGCAAACATTAACAAAAGGGATTTTAATTGGTCAGTGTCTGGTATTAGTTATTTTTTTTTCCTTTCACCTTCTCTTATGATCCTGTAGCTTTATTAGGTTTGGGAAGAAGAGAGAAAAGTTAATTTGAGAATTTAGACATGACAGAATACAACACAATTTCTTTATCGGAGAAATCTGATGGCTCTAAACTGATGTCATTATGAGGTTTAAATCAACTTTCTGCTTGCTTGAACATGGTCACCTGGGTATGGATGTACAAGGACACAAAAAGGTTGAGCAACTTTAGTTGTCTTAGAGCTGGCAAATACCTAGGTTTGCGAAATCAAGTTCCACAGAGGGTCATCTGTCAACTGTCCCCACAACATGCATTTTTTTAAGGCTGTGCCTACTTTTTCTTTTATAATGAAGAAAATACTTCTCCTAGGAAAAGGGACACAGCAAAGAAAAATGTGAAAGCTCTAGTCTGTAATAATTGACAATGAATGCTCACATTATAGATACCCTTTTTATTACTGACAACAGTAGTACATAAAACACACACACTTACTCTTTTTGGAAATAAACATAGCTTATGTGCATTCTGTGAAAATAATTTGTCCTATTATTAGGACAAATAATAGTGATACTTATTAAAAACAACCACATTTATTACTATATAGGGCTAGAGTTTTAAAATTACTCGCTGTAACAATTTTAAAAAATCTTGTCATTTCTCTGGTATAAAATAGCATATGCCTCATTATAATTTTCTTGCTTTTCCACTAAAGAAGCCAATAATCTAAACATTAGCTCTGTACCCAGAAGCCATAATAAAACAAACTTAATTTCAACAGCATTCCACACAACTAGATTTCATCTCCAGAGGAAGAGTAAAAAAAAAAAAATCAAATGTGTGAAAGTTTTGTATTCCTAATGGGCATTCAATGTGTGAAAAGTTATGTTTTGATTTTTAGGATTCTGTATATTTTTTTTTGCTTACACAATTGAATTGCAGAAAATTACAGCTTTGGTTCAGAAATATATTATCAGATAGATAGGCCAAAGAAATCAGTAGGTTGATCATTATGAATATCATTGAGAAATTAAAATTTCTAATCTTAATTTCTTAAGATTCTGTCTGACTATTCTGTGTTGGGCAGTTCAAATGTTTTTATTGTTATCACAGGTTAGTCTTAGTTAGGGAATCTGTGGCCTTCCTATTGTTCAGTTAGATCTCAGTAATTCATTATTGGGCATGTTCATGAGCCTCCTGGGAATTGAACAGCAACATCTGGGAAGAATCAGTTTTACCATTCTTAGTTTAAAATCTGTCATTAACATTTTTTTGTCTAATTTTTGTTCAAACACACCTTTAAATTTACTAAATAGTCTACATAGATATGTTCAAGAGATACTGTGAATGGACTCTTCCATGCAACAGTCTATGCCTAGATTGAAACGTGTGTGTTCTAGGTGGATCCAGAACTGAAACATGGATGTTGGCCTGGTCATGGATGACACAGGTGTTCTAAGGTGGGAGACTGCAAGGAAAGGGCAAAACAAATGGGATTGTGCAGCAGGGAAGAGGAAGAAAGGTACGGGGACAATTTGGGATGGGTTTGATGGACAGAGTAACTTGGATCATGCCAGCCTTGAAGTCAAGGACAGCAGCTGCAGTAAAGGCAAATAAAAAGAAAGAAAAGTGTTAGGAAACTGGTGGGAAGGCTGGTCACAGGCCCTGACAAGAAAGGGAGGGAAAGGCTTATCAATCATGTCCTACATGATCTGAAATTTGTCTTGGTCAAAACATTTGTTAGCTTTTGGTTTAGCCAGACCACAACGTATCCTGAACTGGTTCAACTGGACTGAATCATAATGAGTTTGTTTTGTGCATGGAACAAAACAGATGCTCTATTTGTGCACTTATTTGTCTATGCTAAAAGAAAGCACATGATTACAGATTGTCCTTTTTATTTTTGAGGGGTTGTTTTTCCCCAGCATGATGAAACTGTAAATAATGAGATCCTGAATTTATGGAAATTGGAGAGGTTGAGTTCCAGAACAAATGGTCATCTAGTTCCTCGCATGAGCAAGCCCTCACATGCAGATTGTCTGCACAGTGTATTGGGTCATCTTTCTCTGCATTAATTTTGACAAATCTTGCAGCATGAACACAATCATAGAACTCCAGTGGCTTTTTAGCCTTCAAAGTGACAGACTTAATTGGTATTGGACAAAAGCAATATGTGCTGGCTTTTCTGTTCTCAGTGGCTCTTTAATGACTTTGGTGGAGAGGTCTCTTAATAGTATCACTGGTGCTTTCCTCCTGAAGACCACTTGTAGCTAGTTCTGGCGGATAGTGCTTTGACAAGTTAAGATTGTCCTTCTTCTGTAGGCTCCAACAATGAGCAGATTTCATAATTTTCCTGCTCAAAAGAAGACTTCCAGCCGTGATTGCCAGTGTTCTGGTCCAAGGCTTCAGAGAAAGCCTTTTGGTCATTGGAGCAAAATGCAGCAGTGGCAACACTAAAATCCAGCAATGTGACAAAGCAGCTCTTCTGTCAAGTTTGAGAAGAACTGTGTGGAAGAGAAAAGCCTGCATGAATCATGTGGTCTAAGCAAGCAACTCCTTCCACCACCAGTGAATTGCTCCAAAGAAAAAGGCATTCCTATGGAGGAAGCCATATGGAGCTTTGCAGCTGGATTAATTCAGTGAGATCTACTCTAAGTTGGTGAGAAGGAGGACAAATATGTTGTGCAAAGAATCCAACACTTAAGAAAAAACTTTTTGCGTGCACAAAAGCCCATCTACTATTTTCTGAATGCACAAAATAGCAACAACAAAGTATGAGTAGATTAATACCTTTATATGTATATATTGATTCTATTTAGTGTAACCAAAATTGTGGATAACAAAACTAATAAGAAGCCACAAGTGCTTCTAAAAGCTCATATAATTATTGAGATAGTTAATTTTACTCTATGACATCATAATTGGATTCTGCATAATACATAATCTAATCTATAATCCTCTGCTGGTGAATTGTTCCAGCTGTTGCTATATAAGTTTATACACAAATCTGGGTTTTACTTGTGTTGTGCGCAGATGCCCTCATAAATGTCAGTCAATTGCTCTTCTATGGAAGGTTTATTGTAGAGATTGTAATATGTTATTTCTTCTTTTGCCCTTGATATACTGAAATACTCTATGCCATCTTCTAAATGAACAAAAATCAAGCAGTTTTATCATATTACCCATCTTTTTTTAAAAAAAATCTAAGTGCATGAAGATTTCACAGTGATGAATAATAATGGTAAATATAATTTTCTCATATTGGTAGAACCCTAACATATAAGATTGACTCACTCAATCTATATCTACTATCCCATCAACAGACAGGTCCATTCACTATTGTTTCAACTGAGTAAACAGTGGTGAAAGGGTCGGTCATATTCACAGTAATTGTTAGTGTGGAGACAGTCCTGTCAAACATGTTAGCTAAAAATATACTCTACTCTGTCACTTTGCAAGGGGTTTGAAAATAATAGCTCAGTTGCTGTTAAACAGGACATAAGATTACACTGTGACCCTTTTCTTTGTTGAAATTTCTTCAGAGCTTTAATTTTGGGGGACAGGTTATAACTGAATAATAGTGAATTCCTCATATGAAGCCAACTTCTTCAAAGAATATATGCATTTATTTTTTTATAAAAGAAGAAATAAACAGCTTTATAACATTAAATGTATCATAAGACTCAGACGACTGAGTGTTGAAGTATCTTGTAGAATATATACTAATTGCGAACATTTTTGCATTATTATTTTTTTAGTCAGCCCCATAGCATAGACCAAATGTTTTTGTTAATGGCATTCTGAGTAAGGCGGGGAAGATTATTGGTCTGCCGTGCAATAATTTACTCCTCTTTGATATGCAAACGATCCACGGTGAATATAAAAAAAAATCCTATCAGACTCATTTCACAGTTCTTAACCACTTAGATTCTCTGGAGTCTATCGCCTCATTAGACCACTGCTCTCCAAAGCTAGCATAATTAAAATCTTTAACAGTTTAGCAAAGTAAAGATGTTTGGCTGATCACGTTAAGATGATTATCTAGCCATTGTATTCTAAATGACAAAAATAAATTAAATTTAGACCTTGGCATTTTTTATTATGTGTTTCAAATGAATCTAATGCATACTGCCTTTATTTAATGCCTTAGGTCTGGTAAGAGACATGTCTGTGTTTCAGATACAGATGTATATTTTGAAAATGGCAGGCTGTCCCACACCCTTGCACTGATTTTTTTAAAAACTACAACCCTTGAAACAAAGAAGCTGTATTTCTTGGCCTCAGTCTTTAGTCTTCAAAAGAAAGAGAATTACTTTGAAGAAAACATAGATTCTTCATGACTTTAATATAAATTTCTGCCTATACTACTTTTTCATGCCAGTGCATAGCAATATGACAAGATACCTTCAAATGTTGTTTGCAAACATTTATGTGGTGTTAACTTAGAATCTCATAAGAATGGGATTAATATGTGTCACTCTAGGTTTTGTTTAACTAAACTTTAGCTTGTAAGGGTATTTTAAAATTCTCAGTTTAGTTAAGAATTTCGGTATCTACCTTTACTTAAGGAACATATTTCTCATGAAAATGTATTTTCTGTTTTATTTTACTTTCAATGGATTATTATTACTGATCAAGAAACTAGTAATAACAGTAATGTTAGCTGTATAGGAACTTGCAAGATTTTTTATATAAGGCACATCTATCAAGTGAGCAGTACTAAAAGCCAAAATTAATGAGAAAGATAGGTATGTTAATGACATAATCACAGTATAATCAATTTTACTGTTAAAATTTTAAAAAGCACTGCATGGAGACAATATGAATTCATAATTTATGTCTAAAAGTAATTAATAAAAACTATATTTAAAAGCAAAGCTACTTGTCATCATCTACAATTCAAGCACAAAATTACTTTTGTGCTGATATCATAAAAACAGAGATACATTTTCTTTGAAGACTTTCCTTGCTTCGAAACAGAAGTTACCATGCTAGAGCTGACCAATGATTCATCTATTCCAATAATACTGTTCTCTTACATTAGGTTTTCGGAATCTTATTTTTAAATCCCATTTATGTCACCGATCTTGGGAATGTATATCATAACTCTCTTCAACTATTATTGGGATAATACCCCATCTTGATTTATTTTCAAAATAGGTCTTAGTTTCATACCATAAGGTTAAAATGACACACATGCCATGATATCATTGAGCAAATGACATGCTTGTATAATTTGTGTGTCATTCATATCATGACCACTAACACAAGTACATCAACCACATTATTTGTATGACAGTATCATGTGCAGATGTCATCATTTGCCATTCTTGGGCACCCATGTTTTCCAATTTGAGAAGATTTTAATTTTATTACTTTTTATTTATAAAGTTTATTGGCTGCCCATCTTACCACAGATCATTCTTTGTAAGCCATTAAGATGCAAAGTGCTGCTGTGGACAACCAAAGAACCTATGTAATTATTCTCCCTATATCTGTTGTGATCACAAATAGAAAAGCTTAGCATTTACTGTTCTGGTGGGATAATCTGTCAAAAGATTGTACTATGTGTCTTTATACTACCAGGACTCAACACAGGCTTCCATGAATGTAAAAATAAAAACAAATAGTGTTCCTGACACTGGCACCAGCCATCTTGGGTAGCTTCTGGACTTCGTGGCTCACTAGCAGGAATGCATATTGAAAATGCTTTTTGTTGATAGTTTCCACAGTGTTCTTGCATAACTCTGTTAGCTAGATTTTGGCATTTGGCTAAGAAATCACCCAGTCCTCAATACAGCCCTGGCCCGATGAGATTGAGGTAGAAACATTTACCATGAGAAATGAAGAAAAATGAAGAAAAAAAATTGAACATTTTTCTACCAAAATATCTGACTCCTACATTTTTTTGGTTTCACATTTTCAGATATATTCCTGAATGCACAAGGGTTAGAAAATAAAATAAAATAAACATAAAGCTTTTATTTTCAATATCCATAGCTGCAGAAGAAGATAAATATCCATGTCATCAGCTTAACCCCTGAATTTGCAATGCAATCTAGCACAGGGGTCCCCAGCCCCTGATCCGCGGCCTTCTGCGGGGCCGCAGCCTGTTCAGAAATGGGCCATGGAAATGGTGGATAAGCACACATGGATGTGTGCACAGCTACATTTTTAAAGCAGCACACGCACAAACAAAAACATCCCATCTCCGCCACCACTGCCATTTCCGTTGGTCCGCTGAGCTGGACCAACTAGCAAATACCTCCACGGACAGCTTTTTTATATAAAGCGTTTTTTGGTTCCATAATAGTTATTGCTGTGGCAACTAGTATTAAATCTTTTTTATTAAAGAGATTTAATAAAAGTCACTCACCATGACTGCAGTGACTTACAAAGACAGGACCCCAAATACAAAATTCATTGCACTCCTACTCTCCTGATATTCACTGATATTCAGTCAAACTTGATACACTACATATCAGTCTGGGATCCCCAGGCCCACTGACAAAAACCCATTTTCAGTGCCTTTTGAAAGAGTATGAAGATGGGGGCCAATCTTATCTCCATATCTCTTAAGATATTCTACCGGGAGAAGCGACCATGGAAAAGGACCTTAGATGGAGCTCCTTAATGCTGGGAAATCATAATATACCCTGCCTCCCCAGTATAGTGGATTGGGTAGATGTAGTTGGAAAAAGGTCCTTCAAATCACCCAAGCCATGTAGGGCTTTAAGCAGCACCTTAAATTGGATCCAGAAGCAAATTGGCAAGTATCGCATTGCCCTCAGGGGGGTTTAACATATGTGTGAATCTAGATTTGCACAAAACTGTATGAACCACTGCATTTAGAACCAACTGAGGCTTCTGGATACTTTTCCAGGGCAGCCCCATGTCAAGCACTTTACAGTAGTCAATTAACATTTAGAAATGTACTAGTGATGAAATTTAGTAGTAATTAGTAAACATTAACCAGTGAATTTTGTTTTAGGCATGATTCCAACTGAACTCCAGCAACTCTGGAAAGAAGTGACAGGATCTCACACAGCAGAGGAAGCAACCAGCAACAATCATAGCAGCCTGGACCTGTCAACCACATGTATCTCCTCTTCAGCCTCTTCAAAGCCCTCCTTAATAATAAACCCACATGCCTCAACCAATGGACAGTTGTCAGTCCACACTCCTAAAAGGGAGAGGTAAGCATGAATGGAGTTTCTTCTTATCAGTGCCTAAAACATTACACTTTTGTTTGTAGGTGGAAGGTACCTATTTGCATGAATGCATTATTTTTATTTTACAGCCATTCTAATTTTATACACACAAATACATAATATTCCATTAGGATTAGGATTATTGTGTGCTCATGGTTCTCATCTACAACTCCAAAGTAATTCATCTTTTTTTACATTCTCATGGAGGACAGCTGCATAATCCCAGGATGCTAAGGGTTAATGTTTCTAGTATTACATTAAAGAAATTCTTGACATTCTGAAACTCATGGAAATAATCGCCAATTATAAATAGGGATTTTTTTTTACCTCTTTTGTGTTTGAGGTTCGGTTCATAAAATGTTTGTGTATCTTCACATAAGCTATGGTTTATGAACATGTCTGCACATTCATCAGTAACTTGATGGACAGTGCAAGATGATGATAAATACGTGCATATAAACTACAAATACAGTCCCTGCAAACAGTGATCATCCAGAACTTTTTTAAAAAACATATTGAGCCCTTTCTCAATATTCCATAAACATGAAATAGAAGTTGTATTTAAAGTTGATATTTGCTGACAGAAAGCTCTTTGATCTACTAATGCCATGCCATCTCCTATGGCACAGGCTGCTGAAAGGAGAGTCAATTGGCAAAAATTGCTTCCTGCCCAATTTTACTGACGGAAACTCCTGCTGGATCCAAGAACCTTCATCCAGCAGTAGAGCAATATGGAACGTAAGCCATTGATAGAGTTGTTTGTTTTGGGAATCTCTTATGTGAATTTACCTTCTAATTTTTCTATCATTGTGGCTTTTTATGCCTGGTGAGAAAGTGTTGCAGCAGTATTTCAGAACTGTTAGACCGCAATAGTATTTATTATCAGGACTCTAGTATCGTATCCTGTAGTATAGTATCAGAACTATTAGATTGCAGTCATATTTTAGGACTGTTATCATGAATATCATGAAAATAGTTAAAAGGGAGGAGCAGAACAGATTTTTAAAAAGGTGAATTTTTCAGAGCTTCCTCAAGTCCTATATTCAAGTTTCATTTTCAAGCCCTTGGAAGCAAGGGATATTATATTTTAGGATTGTGTCTTGCAGCATAATATAACTGCTGGATTCTTTTCTGCCCAGGCCATGAATTCTGTTTTCTTAATTTATCCCCCCATCTTCAAACTCTGCTGTAAAGGTGCTTCTTGAAATGCATTTGGATTGATTTGGGGGAGGGGGAGATAGAGAAAGGAGGCCAATGAAGGGACAAATGGGTGAAAATGGATTACAAATTCTTGGTAATAGTTCTTACAGTTTAGTGAAGAAGACAATATTATATGTTAACAATGAAAAGGATGCTATTTTCTACAAAATGATATGGAATAATCTTTGAAAGCAAATTAAGTGGGTCTGCCTTCCCTTGCTAACTGAAAGGTTTTTATTGAGGTTTTTATTATTAGTTTTAAGAAATCTCTTTTTCCACTGAACTTTTCATTGCTAGTAATAATTTTGCTAAGGCAGACAGAAAGCACATCTTATGTTCTTCTTTCATGAAGAAAAAGTTGGTTTCCTAAGTATTCTGTGTGCGTTTAAAATTGGGATATTAACAGGAGAAGTACACATTATACCAGTTCTAGGATGTAGATTTGTATTTATATTTTATATTTGTCTGATAAAGGAAATATATTTTCTGTACCACCAGAAAGTATGTTTTTGTGGAAGATGAGATTTTCTAGTTTGACATCTTCCAGCCTAGAGCAAAATGGGGAGGAAAAATCATTTAGTTCCTTTGCGTGTATTGTATGTTGAATTTAAGAATAAAAATCTCATATTGGAGTTGATTTTTTATTTAAATTCTTAATGATGAGCAAGTTATTTCATAAATTGGATAACATTGGGCTCCACTGTTTTATTTATGTACACATCTATGTTTGGGGGCCTATCCCATTTTCTTTCATGATTCATATAAATACATGCCTGCATGCAAATATAAGTATGCATAGTTACTTGCCTTAAGAGCAGTCATTTTCACGGAATAACTAGGAACAGAAGTTGCATTTTGTGTGTGTGTATGTGTGTGTGTGTATGTGTGTGTGTGTATACACACATACATATATATACATAAGTCAAACAGTATTTCTGAACAATTTTTGTTTCATAATGAAGTTGTTATGCTTTGAGGACTGAATACCTGACTGATCAACAAATTAGCACGATGTGTGACTTTCACTAGAACATATGTACAAACACCTATAACTTGAGCTTTCCATCTTACATTGAAATTATTTTTGTGTTTCTTCCTAGTATTTAACATTTGCTTGCCTGTATTAATATTCTTTGTGGAATCATGTTACTTTGATGATATACATTGATCTGCATTCTGCAAAGATTTATTTGATTCATATTGGTTGGAAAAGCGGATATTGGTATCAGACATGGAAGAAAACCCTCCTGCTTCCCTTCATTCCTAAGTTTTGGCCTGCCTATCTCAACATGGCTTTTGGTATCAAGAGGCAGCATATATAATGCTGTATGCACTTTAGAAGTTCACAATAAGAGTTGCCAACTAAAAGAGGAGAGGCACAGATTCTTGTAGACTTCTTTTCCAGCTCTTCACTCATGAAGTTTAGAGCAGGCAATTATTTTTCCCAAGAGGCCACATGACAAACTGGGACTGTGGTGGAGGACCGAACCAATAGGCTGAATTTAATTCTGTTGCTGGTGCTCACCTCTCAAAGGAGGAGGGATCATGGAACTTCAGCCCAGCCATCACTCTTGTGTTACAGGCGCAAAACTCAACTTGCCAGCCAATTAAAGGAGCACCTTTGGCTTCTTCTCCCATTCCCTGTGGCACACTTATTTGTATTTTATTTTATAATTTCTGATTGACCTCGTGCAGGCTGGACAGGGATATCCAAAGGGATAGATGTGGCCCAGAGACCGTAAAATGCCCAGGTCTAATCTAGACAGTACAGAGATGATGTATGTAGATGAAATAGATTCAGAGTAGAAAATTTTCAGTGTTAGCTTTTAGCAGTATTTTAACTCAATAATTCAGTCTAGGTTTCTACGTTTGCAACAGAACCTTGTAAATATGTACTCTTCTAGGATTGCCGTGCAATAATGGATGAAGTTTTGATTTACTTCTAGTGAGTTCTTGATCCTAACTTTACTGAATTTGATAAACCCATCATGCTTTCTGTTTAAAATCCAGCCATTTTAATTTTGACACTGGAAAAAAAAAGGCTGCTTACATTTTGTCTTCCAAACTTCTGATTTCTTTCAAAAGAGATCTATAACCAACCTTCCAGTTGCAGGTTATATAATACATTAAAATATAATGTTTTAAATTTGCTTAACAAGGAAGCTAGAAGACAAGCTGTGGTAAAATTCACTGTTCAGTTAAGGTCCTTTAAAAAAGGAACCTTCATTTAAAATGACATTCATAAATGTGCACTTTATCATTGGTGATATTATTCAGTAGAATGATTCTTTAAATCTTTTTCAAATGCACAATGTTACAAGAATGCAAGTACCTCAAATTTAAAGTAGGTATGCTCTGTGGATTATTTTCTATTTTTTTTTCTTTGGTGTGTTTGAGGTTGGCACCATCCGTTTACAGCAGCATGATTGAATTACCTCTTTGTCCATAAGATGAGCAGGCAAGAATACACAGAGAATGCCGATGAAGGCACTTAAGGTTTCTGTTGCTATCTCATCAGGCAATATGGTGCCTGCCTACATGCTGTATGACATATAAGCCTCTGTTTAGATTGTTTGGGGAGTCTGGAAGAATACTTTCTTTTTCCTGAATATTCATGGCAGAATAAGATTAGTAAAAAGAATAAATGGTAGAGTATCAAGTGCCTTTGCGTTTGAAGTGAGTAGTGGAATAATTCCATAGATCAGCAGGCTGGCTCACTGTTATGAGTTATATTGGCTAGTTTGAAATACAGGATGGAACAAACTAATATTTAGATTAGTTTAACAGAATGAATGAGTTTCTCCTAAAAAGGAGCTGAGAAACATTTCTGTTTTCTAAATGTCAGAAGCACATTTTTGTACTGTCGTCTATTTGGAGTGTCTAAGAACAGATACTTTGAGAGGAAAGCTGGGGTGGATTTATTTCTAAGTCTCCTTTGTTTCCTTGAATCTTAAATCAATAAATTTAAATCTACTGAAAGCTGAGAGTATAACTCCTAGAGGTTCTTAGAAATTAAGTATTTCCTTCTTATCTTCCTAAAATTCCAAGTCACTAGGCCAATTTCAGGATGGAGAAAAACATTTTAAAGTCTTCAGTGTCTCATTAGCCTTTTGGGGTACTGCATTCCTTGATCTCAGATAGAATTGAAAATAGGGTTCTTGTTGATACTTTATTTGTTTTTAGGTACTACAGCCCAGGTGGAAGGTATTCTAAAGTACTGGACACATTAAAGCAATGCTCTTTATTTATCTTGCCAGTAATATTATGATTTAAAGAGAAATTGGCTGGGAGATTAATAATAATAAGCAGACAGAATGCCAAATCCAGTCTAAACATCTGGCTAACTGTGCAACCATCCACAATATATTAAATTTATGTGCCACCTGACTCTGGCCAGTTTATAATTGTTAAAACATTAAAAAAAGAGAATGAGAACAATGCAGAAAACATGAAAACAGTACATAATCAAGGAACAACAATGGCAAGGAAAACCCAGAGGGGAAAAGAAAAAGGGGGCATCAGTCCTTGCCAAAGGTCTGGGTGAGGAACTATGTCTTTAAGGCCCTTGAAAATACCAGAGGGGTGGGAGCTGTTCAAATTTGGGTAAGATTATTATTCCAGAAAACAGATACTTCTACAGAGAAAACATGGCTTCAGAATCCTGATAGATGACATTGTTTAATCAAAGGAACCTGGAATGCACCAATCCCGCCAGATTGAACCAGTTGGGCAGATACTATGAGAAGTAGGTAATCCCTCAAGTTACCAGGTCCAGGCCCATGTTG